TCTTTCCCTGTTTGTGCTCCTGCCTGGGAACAGAAAGATCAGTGGGTTACATACTCTGACAGGTGGGAGAACAGGCATCAGAAGAGAAACCTTTAAAGAACCGAGTGTAAATAAAAATTCCTATCTGCACCTTTGGACACTGAATTATTTACATTAAATTCTCATTTAGAGCTTAATGACCACTTTTCATAGCACCACATCTCAGAAATGTTGAAATACAAGACTATGCCAATGTACCTGTAAGGTAATAAGGTATAAAATAAATTTTGGAGGCTGCTTATTTTCCACCAAGAAAATACCAATGGCTATTTAAAGCTTCTGGAAATCTAATGAAAAGTTTGCTTCTGCTAGCAAATCTTTTGCAGTTTCTTCATGGAAATTACGGGTCAAATTTCTGCATGGTTAACAGAACATTACAGTGACTAGTCATATTAGTCACAGCAGCAGCATAGCACATAGGAGGTCAGCTGGATCAGTGTAACCCACTGCCAGGTTCAAAGGCTGCTCTTACCCATCACTCATGTACACACCAAGCCAAGAGAAACGTATCTGCAGCCCCTTGCTGGGGTCTTACAGTACAATGGGAGAGAATTTATTCACACAATTTCCATTCACCAGGATTGAAGGCATCATGAAATCTTCCTTCACTTAGACCAGTTTAGTGGCACTGCCTTCATCTGACCATATCCGTGTTACAGAACTGATATAACACAGTATCAGTTAACAAAATGAGACCTTGTCTGAAGCTCTATCAGGTATTAGAAAAGACAGAGCAAGGTCTGTTTGTCTCCATCCCATCTGATACTCTTCTCCTGATCTGCTGATGCTGCTATCAGCAGAGGTGCAACTGAAAAGAACTGCAAGTTTCCTGCCCAGGCTAGCTTGAGGTAAATTATCAAAAGCATTTCAAAGACGTTTTGGAGTCTAACTCCCAGAAAACATCCCCTGCCCTCCTTTCCCCTCCAAAATAAAACCAATCCAAACTCAAGTACCTGAAGTACAGGCCTTATGCTGTAAATAAACATTAATCAGGAGCATATGTCAGAAAGGAAAATAAAAGCAATTGTGCATCATGGGCCTTAGTCTGCATCTACTGAATGAAATGGCAAACACATTCGCTGAAGTCAAGGGGAAGACAGTCCAGTTCTCACTGCTTTTGAAGATACCACCTTGCTGCATTTAAAAAAAATTAAGCCAAATTGCTATCAAGCAGGCAAAATAATTCCGTATCATATTCCACCTGCGTAATTTAATGTGAGCAGGCTTAAATTTACTTTTACACATACTCGAATGTGTGAAGCTTTTCACAGTGGAATAGTGGTACCTTTGAACATCCCAGCTTCTCAGCAGTCTTCCCTTTAAATATAGAAAATGCTTTCAGATTTTCCTCTTTTACATGAGGAGCCTGAGTATAGCTCCTTGCTTCAAATCCTATTTTCATTTTAATTAAAAAAGTCTGTAAACATACTTAGCTTTTTAAAAAGAAGTGTCACAAAACCCGTCCTTGCTGTCATTCATCCCCGTGAGCATTCCTGACCACATGAGGCAGTGTGGTATGCTCGGCACATCTTTTTTCTGTACACAACACTCACTGCCTACTTCACTCTGAGACGTGTCCTTTTATTTCAGAGCTTTCCCATTGCACCTCGCTCCTTGATGGTTTGGAACTAGAGCAAAAAATACTCTAAACGACCAAATTACTTCTAACTGTAACACACACTCACGTGTTCTAAAGGGTGTCCCTTTTTTTTCTTAAGGATGATCTTAAAATAGCTAGCTGTCCCTTTGGTCATAAATTATAACTAAGGATTTTTATTGGCCTCAAACTTTTTGACTTGAAGAGCAGAACCTCTTTTAAAAGTTGGCCAAAGATGTCTGGAGCAGGTGAAATGAAGTTGAATAAATGAAGTTTTTAAGACTTAAAAGATAAACCTTAGATGTGATATCTTTAGAACTTCTGATCCCAGATAAATTAGATAAAACTCATAGAATGGAAGTAATGTGGCTATGTTCATTCAGCTTTAAAGAAGTCAAACATAGCTAACATCAACTTTGGAAGCAATTCATTTAATCCAGCAATTAAAAAATGTTCAGGTCTTATATCTCAGAGATGAGAAGTTCGTGATTTCATGAAGCTTATCTTTAGAAATCTTCACCTTGGTAATGGAAACATCTCTCAATGCGTTTCAAAATGGCACTCGTGAAACCTAAAATTTACCATTTCATATAGAATCTGTTCTTGGACAGGCTATTTCCCCAGGCTCTTCCAGTTCTGGCGCCTGTCAGTTTTCCCAGTGGATCTCAAGCATAACAGCTTTGAGACTTTCCTGTTTCCAGCTGCAACTCAACACAAAACTGCAAACTCAGTGCTATCCTGACCTATAGTGCATTACAAGGAAGGGCAGGTTTCAGTTGATGAAAGGTTCTGCCATTCCAGCTGAATTACCATGGCAGCTTCACATGCACACAACCAGTTGCTTTTGCAGCTTTACAGGAGAAAACACAGTAGGTAAAACTTGAGAATAACACGTATCAAAGCAGCTTTCTTCCTGCTGCTTTCTACGAAGAAGCTTCTCTCTTTTTTTGGGTAAGTAGTCACTCACCCTGCATCAGCTGCTTTCACTGCCAGCCCATGCGATGCTCTAAACAGGGACTCCCAGATCCTGCAGCACACTCTTGCCACCACTCCCCAGCTCTGGGTTAGCTCCATGCACAGTTACGAGATAGCCAGAAAACTCAGCTGCTCCGTTTCAGAGAACAGAGGCTTCGAAAAACAGAGTTTCAATTTCACAGGTCAGATCGGATGGCATCTTCTGAGCTCATATCTAAAGAAAATGTATGAGAGCACTATAATAAAGAGAAAAGTTACTCCTTTAATGAAAACACTGAAGTATGTCTAGTTAACAAGTTAAGAAGCTAGGATTTACATTTATAGCATGTCTCTGTTCTTTGGTATAAACAGCTTGACTGTGCCCTCTCTCACAGTGTGAAGTGATGCGAGGCCAAATTTCCCTGAGCAGAGGTACCAGGCACCTTTGCATCCAGGGGCACGCCAGTGCTGTATCTCAGCTCACTCTGCCTGCCTAAAGCCACGAGGAGCTGACGCGCTGAGTATCCCTGGGCCCAAGTCCCTGACAGCATCGCGCTCAGCGCAGGCTTTGCAGACACTGCCATCTGCATTCAGAAACATGTCAGAGGAGCCTGGAAGGAAACCCGGTAGGTGTAGCTTTTTGTCAGAGCATTTGCTCAGGAATCACGAGATCCAGGTTTAGGGTACTGAGCAGAAGGGACAGGCCAGAGCCAACACCCCAGGCATGCTCTCTTTCAACTTTCCCAGACTTTAGAAGACTTAGAAAAGTTCACCTCATCTCACGACCTCTGAAGTGAGCTCCCAAACTGAAGAGCTGAAAACTAGAACAAAATCTTTTAGCGTATGCATGCTTCTTCTATAACCGCTGAACACAAAAGCAAAACTTTCCAAATTTAGTAGGATGCAAGAAATCACATAAATTGCGTTTGCCTTTTGTATCTGGAATTCTTCACTCTGTCTTTGCCTCAGTCCTGGTCTCCTCTCCTCTGATTCCCTCCTTCTCACTCTATTTTATCTTTATTTTTGCTCCCGCAGGTATAATTTCCGAGGCTTCCGCTGGCTCCAGGCTATGATCTTTGCCATAGAAGAAATAAACAGTAGCCCAACTCTCCTTCCCAACATGACCCTTGGATATAGGATATTTGACACTTGCAATACAGTCTCTAAAGCCCTCGAGGCCACGCTGAGTTTTGTGGCGCAGAACAAGATAGACTCCTTGAACCTGGACGAATTCTGCAACTGCTCAGAACATATCCCTTCCACCATTGCAGTCGTGGGGGCAACCGGCTCTGGCATCTCTACCGCCGTAGCCAATCTGCTGGGACTCTTTTACATACCTCAGGTATGCTTTCACTTGTCTTGTTTAGGTACAGCTGGGGGTACTGCTGTTTGGAGGGGACCTTTAAGTACATTATAGAACCAGGACACGGAACTGCACTGCTGCCTTTACGCGCTCCATCTCTGTTTCAAACAAAGGAAGGTTTAGAAATGCAATGGCCCTACTAATTGTACGAATACATCCTTGGAGGGCTGAGGAGCAACACAATGATGAGAAGCACTAGCTTTTAAAGTGGGACAACAGTTTACATGAAAGAAAGCAGTCTGCTTCCCTCCAAACTTATGTCAAATCAAACCAAATATTTTTTTTAGGCAGAGAGGCTCACATTTGTCAGAAATGTACTTGGGCCAGTACAGGTATGTGCAGTGGCTGTGCCAGCTTCTCCATCCCACTGTCTGCCAACGTGTCCTAACTGCACATGAGAAGATCTCAAGAGGAGTTCAGCCTCCATGGCTTGTTTAGTCTTTGCCATTTCCAATAGAACCTCAAGGAGAGAAGCAATATAAAATGGGGGGGGGTTCTTACAGTAGAAATATATCTTGCTAGCAATTTGCAATCCCCAAACACAAGGGTTACCAAGCAGCCAGTAACAACATTCAGCCAACAGCAACTTAGTCTAGGAGGACTAGAGTCCTCTAGAGTGGTTTGGTCTGTGAACACATGTAATTTAGGTCAGTCATTGGCAGTTGCCAGCCTTGATAGGTTAGTTGTGATGGTACTTCACCATGGTCACTGTCTAGTCATGCCCAACTCTGACAGAGCCCACTTAAGGCAGAGCTCGGTCATTGCCAGCTACTCTTAAGTCTCTCAGCATCTCTGATCATTCATGTAGGTGATCTGTAAAGTTGTTGCTTCTGCTGATCAGGTGCTGCGAAGGTTTCTTCTGGGCTGACCTGCCTTTCTTTTGCCCTAGGGCCTTCAAAACAGGGTTTGTGAGAGCATGTGGATATGCCCTGCCTTGTCCTGGGGTCATCTGTGTGGTGGTGTACTTGTGCCAACTCCTGTGTTGTGGCAATCTTTCTTGCTGTCTGCTGACTTTGCTGCCAGCCAGTGCCGGCATCCACGGTCCCATCCTTTCGTTTAACAAACTTGCTGCTCTGCCAAGGCCCTAAGCAAAGTATGAGGCTGGCATATTACAGCTTAATGTTGTTGCTCTTGATTTTAGATTTCCACACTAAAGACAACTTTGGAAAAAGTGCTTGGCCTTATCCATTTATGTGTTGCCTTGTATAGCCTAACATTTCCAATTCCTCTTCTAAAATGAATACACATGCTAGAGCTCACAGGAGTCCTTGTAACAAGATTGTGTCACACTGCACTCTCAGTCTGTCCTGAGAGGATATATCTTTATTTCAGGCAGGGCTCCAATTCCCAACTGCACCACAAATGAAGAAGGAAGGATTCTTGTCTGCCTCATGCACAGTAATATATCTTGTCTATTTAATGTTATCAGTCTGGCTCTCTCACAGGAGTCTGAAAAAATGGACATTCAGTCTCTGAGCAGGGCAAGAATGGTTTAAGCTAAGACCAATATATGCTATCTAGGTTATTGCCCAGAATAGCGTTGGAAGGTGGCGTGTAGTAAACACTGTGATGGCATTGTAAGGCGTACATCGCATTACCAGGTGAACAAGGGCAGCTGAGAAGGGTTGGTGGGTTGGACTGAACATAAGAGATGTTCACAGTTCTCAGACTTTGCCTTTGAACAGGGAATGGCGTTTGTGCTACAAGGCAATAGTCTTATCTAGAGGTTGCTGAAACGGGTAGATGTCAGGACTTTCAGTTCTGGAACGAAATCTCAGCCAGGTGGTTGAAGTATGACAATTGAAAACAGGCTTTTAAACTGGGACTTGCTGGGCAGCATTAGAATCACTGCCATTTATAGCAAGGCCATTAGCAAATCCATGCTTAATAGACCCTGCATTTCAGTACAAGTTGGAGGTATATTTTACACTTAATATAAGGCTCATTACTCATTCTGTTGACATAGAAACTGAAAATGTTATGACTCCAGTTCTGTTTCTCAGTATCTCACCTCAGTGTACCTTTACAGCACATGCGGGAGTGGGGTACTTTGCCTGTACCCCCTGGCAGTAGGTTTTAGGAGATGGGAGTAGCACTGGGCAGGAGCCTGTCCAGGGGAGAGTATAGCTCTGTGAAAGGAGGATTTGCTCCTGTGGCCCTTGAAACTGCACTAGGAGACCTCTTTTTCTTTCTTCTTGCAGAAACATTAAATGCCAGAGTTTAAGGAGGAGTTAAGGTTTTCTGTAAATTTCCGCTTTGTACAAAATGAGCTGTTTATAGAAGACTTTTTCAAAGTGAGAATCAGTCCTAAACAGTTTAGATACCAATCTCAAAATGCAAAGATAAGTGAGTTTTAAAAGTTCTTCAGTTCTTTAAACTATTCTCTTCTGGGTTTTATGGTTTTTTTCCTACTTGTAGAAAATCCACGTTATATCTTAAGACCATATGGCATTTGTTCTGGTTAGGAAAAAAAATACTTCTTTATAGATTTAGAAAAGGAGATAAAATCCCATTTTAACTGTAAAACACGGTGGGTCATGGAGCATGGAATGCCTACTGGCTTCTTTGGTGATTCTGGCCAGCAATCAGGAAATACTGCTAAGGTAGTATTGACCAGCATTACCTTAACATTCCACAGGGTCAAGGCGACTGATACACATCACATTCTTCTTACTTCTGCTGGCAGGGATTGTGTATAACACGCATATGGTGCCTGATGGAGCCTGTTTAAGGATGGGGGCAGAGGTGAGAGTCAAGGAGAGACAGACAGTGCTCTTCAGAGCAGGTCCAGGATGGCAGTACCAGCCTGCTGTCTCATGTCTGGTTCAGGACAGAGGAAGCCTGCATTTTGTCTGAATTCTGTGCATTGCCCTCGTTTATCTAAAAGATACATTCTTCTTGTTTCTGGATTTGCCAGGGAGTGCAGCGAGGTGTGTGTAGGCCACCCGTGGCTCACCTCTTTGCTGTTCCTCCCAGCTAGTGTCAGTGTCTCTCTCCCTCAGATCCTTGACCTTATGGGTGGACACAAGCTTGCTCCAATCTCTCGGGTCCGAGCAGCTGCTCCTATGTGTGTGCCTCTGTAAGACAGTCACAGCTACAAGAACATACAGGCTCTCCGAGTGGATCATGTGCAACCACAGGCCAAGAGTACGTGGCTGCCATTGTGGTGCTCAGCTCTCTCTTCATCCCATCCAAGGTTACACAGGTTGACAGTGATGCTGGATAAATGTAGGCAATTTATTCCCAGGCAGTTCACTTCATGGTGTGTTTTGCTTGTTCACTGTGCTCTCACAGGTCAGCTATGCCTCATCCAGTCGTCTCTTGAGCAATAAGAACCAGTTCAAGTCCTTCCTCCGCACAATCCCCAATGACGAGCATCAGGCCACAGCGATGGCAGACATCATCGAGTACTTTCGCTGGAACTGGGTGGGAACAATTGCAGCCGACGATGACTATGGCCGGCCAGGGATTGAAAAGTTTCGGGAGGAGGCAGAGGAGAGAGACATCTGCATTGATTTTAGCGAGCTCATCTCCCAGTACTCGGACGAAGAGGAGATCCAGCAGGTGGTGGAGGTCATCCAGAACTCCACAGCAAGGGTGATCGTTGTTTTCTCCAGTGGCCCGGACCTGGAGCCCCTCATCAAAGAGATCGTCAGGCGAAATATCACCGGCAAGATCTGGCTGGCGAGCGAGGCCTGGGCCAGCTCTTCCCTGATAGCCATGCCGGAGTTCTTCCGTGTCATCGGCAGCACCATTGGGTTTGCGCTGAAGGCAGGACAGATCCCAGGCTTTCGTGAGTTCCTGCAGAAGGTGCATCCCAAGAAGTCCACCAACAACGGCTTTGCCAAGGAGTTTTGGGAGGAAACGTTTAACTGCTATCTCCCTGATGGGTCCAAAAATTCTCCAGCTCCAACTTCCTTCCACAAGGGCCATGAAGAAGGACTGGGAGCTGGAAATGGAACGGCTGCCTTCCGACCTCCGTGCACAGGGGATGAGAACATCACCAGTGTGGAGACACCGTACATGGACTACACACACTTGCGGATATCCTATAATGTGTATTTGGCAGTATATTCTATTGCCCATGCCTTGCAGGATATATATACCTGTACCCCTGGGAAAGGACTCTTCACTAACGGATCCTGTGCGGACATTAAGAAGGTCGAGGCATGGCAGGTAAGTCCTTCATTTGTGTGCCTGTGCAATATGCTTGCAGAAAAAAGACAAGCTGTCCTGGAGCTTTTAGGGTGCCTTTCATAATCCTGGGTCTCAGACACAGCATAAGGCTCCTGGGACGTAGCATATCACTGCGTGCAAGTTAGGTGCATGCTCCCACCCTACAGGGAATGTAAGGTAAGTTGTGTTAGGTTTGCCTGCAGTGAAAGAGGCTTAAACTAAGTTAAATTTTCTTGCATTTGCTACGGGCCAAAAGTGCACACACAGACAATTACCACAGCCTGGCTGACGCAAAGTAACTTGATCATATATTGAGCCCTTACATAAACAAGAGGGCCTGGAGAGAGCGCATGAACAAGGAAAACAGTTTTTAGAGTTCATTTTCTTTGGCAAGCTCTACGTCTTTTGCAATCCCACAGCAATTTTCCATACAGGCCATATGTTTTTTTCCACAGTTTTAAACTTATATAGGATCAAACTAAAGCAGGTTGAGTAATGAAGGAAAATAACGTGTGGATGTTGGGCAAATAATAGATAGCTGCTTTGATTTGGCAGTGATATTTGTGAACTGATAAAATGATACTAACGACCTAGCCACATTTACCCATTCATTCGATGCGTTCTGCGCACCGGCGTATGGATGGTATTCTGGCATTTTGTCTTCTGATCCGTTATGAATACTCCATACCTTACCATATGTTTGATTGTGCTATCCGGTGTGATATTCAGTACGTGTTTCTAATATCTACTGCATTCTTAAATAACAGAATTAGCTTGTAAGGCTATCAAATGAAGATATGCCGAATATGTAGCAAATTCTGTTTGCCCCGTTCTGGTCATCACAGAAAACTTGGGCCCAAACATGCCTGGAATCAGAACAACATAGATGAATATAAGGAGGATCACATCCCCGTTTGCATGTGTAATTTCCTCTATTCAGGACAGTCTAACCAAAATAAAGGCTATCTGTGTCACAGACTTTGCAGATGTTGGGTCAGCGTTTGCATGTGGGAACTGCAGTTTGGTTCTTGTCTAGTCTCAGTCAACTCAAAAACATCAGTCTGATCGAAGTAAAAGGCTTTATCTTGGCATTTTTGGGAAACCTGCATTGCTTTAGGTACCTGATTTGGGTTTACCGAAACCACTTTACTCAGAGTTGAGTGCAGGGTTTGACCCTGGTTTAGGGGAATTCTGTGATTGCTGGCTCTCTCTGACGTTTCTGTCTTTCAAAGCTATTCTGCTTTTCAGGAACATACTGGCAGAAGTGGGCAAGTCACAGACAGATTTAGCTTTCACTGTGTCAGTAAAAATGATCCAGAATAAATATATTTTTAATTCGTTCCCTTATGCCTTGTCAACTTGGAAAGTAAAGCAGGATATTCATACCATAGCTAAGTAAAATAATGTGGTGTTTGTTGAGGATTCCACAATCGGGAAGAATGTCCTCTCATTTCTGTGTTGCTTGTCTGGTGCTGAAGGATGGCTGTATGAAAATGTAAAGCATCCTGCTGATCTAGGCTTTTGGGTATGCATACTTGCCTTAAAGGAGGGAATCAGCATCGAGAGCATGTGGGGGATAACAGGACTGGGTAGGAATATTGGGCGCTATAAAGGAACAGGCTATATTTGAAGTGACCACCATTATGTGGTGTTGGCTGTCAAACATATTTGATATTTGTGCATTTTTTCACTTCATTTCAAAATCAAACACATGAATAGCAGGTAAATGCCAGATTTGTGTGCACACCTACTTTGTATCAGGCATTGCAGCTCATTACCCTCGGGAAGCTTTCCTCCGCCCCAGGGGTAATGAGTTCACCTCACAAACATGCATCCTCCAGCATCTCCAGAGGGCAGTTTTCTGACAACCAGACAGAAGAAAACCTTTCTACTAAAATCAATCTCATTTACTGCCAGTACCCGCTCCCTCTTCTCACAATCGGCTCAAGGGTTTCTTGATAGGAAGCGACCCGAGAGAGCGAGGATGGCGTTAGGAAGCCTCCGCGCCTGAGGCTGGCGGGAGGAGGCGCTGAGGGGGCGGGCGGCGCCAGCCGCTGATAGTGTCCGCAGGCACTGACCAGGTGGTGTGTGGGACGGATAAGGCGAACCCCGTGAACCTGTAGCTCCATTAGGCTGAGTTCCTGTCCAGAGCAGCCCTTGCCAGTGGGGTCAGTGGCTGGGGAGGATAAATGGTGTGTTCCACAATTTAATTATGTGCCGTTTAATTTTGTACCTTTCAATGGCGTTATCCCATTAACACGTATTATTTATCTGTTGTCTGCTAATTGTTAATTTTATGCACTCAGAATATAAACCTTTTTGGCAGAACTGGTTTATATGATTTGTGGAGGGTGCTTGTGTGGGTCTGCATATAAAAACAACATTTTTACCTCAGTGATCAGTTCGTTTGAACTGGACAGCAGGAAGCCTAGCACAGAATTACTGTGAGTTGGTTAAATTGGGTGCAATTCTCCTATTAAGAATTTACCATCTACTGTTTAAGAAAGCTCTAAGTATGTTTCAGCATGGGGAGTACGGGATTTTTCTGTGTCTCCCAAGCTGGAATATCAAATACTAACAACTTTCTTCTCTACTTATTTATAGCTACTTGTTTAAGAAGCTGCTTACTCATTTTCTCCACTTGAATGGGTGGTCTTTGACAGACCCTGTCCATAAACCCAGTCTTGCTTCCTTTTGTTTTACCAACGCCTCTGAAGCTGGCGGTGGGCACCTCCACTAGAGACGGAATGGGTCAGCACGTGCGGAGGTGCGGGCGCAGGCAGAGCTGGTGCGCAGGCAGGCCGCCTTCCAGGCAGGAGCTGTGCCCCTCACTCCACGTGCGGAGCTGCCCGTGGAGTTCAGAGACCTCTGTCTGAAAATGGGAAAACTTGCACCTCTGTGCTCTACAGAAAATTACAGACTTTAATAGGATGTCTGTGCTGTCCTTATTCTGAGCAATGTATATGCCTGCAGCTGTCATATTTTAAGAACCTACCCTGCTGCAAGGCAGAAGATAATCCAGGTGCACATCTTTGCAAGATGCCTGAGAAGAGCAGATAGTATTCTCTGCACATGCCATTGTTGTGTCCTGCACAATATTGATCAAGATCAGATTAATTACTTCTTTTTGCAATGTTTTGTTCAGGTAACAAAAAGGTGTGGGGCAATCCAGAACAAAATGTATAAGCAATTTCTGTCACATTTGGAAAAGGCAAAATTTTACACAAAGCGCTAAGGATTAAAGTGCATGACTGCAAATAATACGACAGAAAAAATCCTCTTAAACGACTCCGTCACCTCTGATTATCAGATGCCCATTCTCTTTCACTGGCGAGCTGTGATTTTTTTAGGAGACTTTATTGAGTAGGGCTAATTCTGTGTGTTGCTCTGGCTCATGGACTGGCATCCCCCAAATACAGGCTCTCCTATAAGCAGTGGGAAGGTATGGCAAGGGGTGGGACATGGGCTCCTGTACTGATGCTGCCTCTTTGTCAAAATTCCCTGCATCTTTGGCCTGTTTCTCCGTAACAGCTCGAACAGTCTTCTTTTGAAGCCCTTTTTTCTTAATACTTTCCCTGAAAAGATTTCCCAGGTCCCTCAAGTTCCTTCATTTCCTTCGTCTCTGCTCATGTGGCTATTCCCATGGTCACTTCTAACAGCAAGTCCACCTGTTCTTTTTTCAATTCCCCTCTGAGCAAATATTTATAACCCTTTGGGGCATTTACAGGAGCCTGTCTGGTGTCTCTCTCATTTCAAAGACTGGGTGGTCCTGCAAAAAATAAGAGGAAAACCAGTAAGGGATCCTAATCTGTCCTTCAGAGCAAATATTTATTACATCATATTCTTTCTGTGTGAGAAGAGGAAACCCCTGTCTTTTCCTCAGACATAGTTCACTCCGTGTTTCTGCCCATTCATTTGGCTTCTTGATGATTGCGAACAAGCAGCTGACGGGCGTCTCTCACAGTAAAAGCATTGTGATTAAATGGGGAAGATAGGCTCCCGTGGATTTGAGAAGGCAAAGGTGTGCAGTCACAGGGTCATGGAGCAGAGCATCCTTAGGTGGACTCCCAGGCAGTTTTCAGATTGTGCTTACACTGGAGGCTGTAAAACTTTGGCAGGTTCATGAGTGAAAAATGAGATAGCTCTTCTAGGCATCAAGGCAAAGCATGCTGCACAGGCTGAAAAATGTGGTGTCCTAAAGATTAGCAGGTTAAAGACAGGTCATCTAAATTATTCTATGCCTAGAAATCTGATTGACCTCAGACTTAGTGAAAAGCTGCCATATGCTGTTCCACAAAATAAAAGCAAATACAAATTGGCTTCACCTAGCAACACCTATAGTCTTTTATTACACCTGTGCACCTCCCAGCCAACCGTTCCTTCCTGTGTGCTGGTGATACGCATTGTGAAGAGGTAAAAATGGATTGGTGCCTTCTCCAACTTTACATTTAGGTATGTCTGGCTGGCTGGTAATTGATTCTGCAAGACTTTAAAGACGTGAATAATGCCTTAGATGACATACGTCTCTCCAGAACTTTGAGCCTAAGGGCTTATCTAATCAACTCTGTGTCAGTTGAACTATATAGGCCTGTCTGAACAATTAAAATGGTGTATGGAAAACAGCTGCTTTGTGGTATAGAGAATGAAACAGTTATCAGAACAGGTATTAACTGAGGCTGGTGTGAAAATTAGTCATTCGGGAAGAATTGCAATGAAGACAGAGGAAGGTGCTGAATATCAGGCAACTGCAAAACCTCACCTAGTTTGCATTGCAAATGCACTGGAGCTCTATTTGTTATGAACAGAAAGCAAGCATTTCACCAGTGTGCCTTTGTTGTGGGAGACCAAATTGAGAGGCAGACAGTTTGAGCCACACACAAAAACGTGTGGGTCGATAGAGCAAACACAGCTATTTCCCCACAAGGGCAGTAACAGGTGGTTGCTTATGCATCAGTTTGGAGATAACAACTTGCTGTCTGCTGAGAACATCACTTTTGAGC